AGGGGGTCTGAATACTTTCCGTACCCACTGTATATACACAGTACATAATCATTTAAAATAATATAATAAAAAATAAAGGATTTTGCCAATCATGTCATGTCTGTGTGCAGTTAGTGAGGACAACGCAATAGCAAAGCAGTATTTTTTTTTTCTTTTGGATCTCTTCACATTTGTTCTTGCAAACTGGTTGTGAAAGTGGCATATTTTTAAAACATGCTCAAATTCATCACTTATTTCTGTGTGTGTTCAGGTTCATCCCAGGTCCGTGGTCGGCCTGCAGTGTGTCTTGTGGTCTGGGCGTTCAAAGGCGTCAAGTGAAATGCAAAGTGCTGCTGTCTTTCACTCAAACCGAAGTCGAATTACCTGATGAAGAGTGTGACGAGGACAAGCCTCCCCTACAAAGGACCTGTGATTCAGGCCCCTGTTTACCATCTCCAGACTCGTCCTGGAGGCCCCTGATGGCCCAGGAGATCCCTGATCAGCATGGCTATGTTTGGGAATACATGGGCTTCACTCCCTGCTCAGCTTCATGTGCTGTTGGTGAGCCTCCATGAAACCCATTAGAGAAAACAACCACTCTAATACGTTTACTGCCCGAATAGCTTTTATCAACAGTTTTCTACAGCAAAAGAACTGATTTAGATTTTTACATGTACAGCTTTCCAGATGAAATGAAATTGGCATGAAATCTAAAATTGCTAAGAGAGCTGATAGTGATCAGCCTGGACTACAAAATACAAAATGAAATGCTCCTCTGCCAAAAGCCTTGTTCCTCACAGTGTTGTTTTTCAGGCAAACAGATGGCTGTTGTCAGGTGTGTGAGCACCTTGAAAAAGGAAATTGTTGATGACACACTCTGCAACGGCTCCAAAGCGCCACTCGCCGTGCTTCGCATCTGTAACCCTCAGCCGTGTCCTCCAAGGTACGGTCCAAAGAACACTGCAAGAAATCACTATAGAGAAATGTATTTGTTGCTTAAACAAATTGCTCTGTTTCAGGATAACTATAAGCTGCTTTGATTTATAAGATAATTTCTCCCTTTGAGAAAGTGCTGTGGTGTGTGCCATTATATTTTTTTGCCAGGATCTTTTATTCGTGCATAAATTCAGTTATCAATTTTTAATATGTATGCATATACATTTAATATATATATACACACACACACACACACACACACTGTGTATATGTATATATCATTTACTTGAACTTTTGTAACATTATCAATGTCTTTACTGTCAGTTTCGATTAATTTGAATGCATCCTTAAAAGTATTCAATTCTTAAAAAAAAGAAAAACAATCTTTCTGACCCCAAAAGTTTGGATCGTAAAAATAGTGAACTAAATGATGAGCGAATAAACAATGTTTTTTAAATAATCATTATAATGATGAAAAGTAATATTCCTTCATCGTCTTTGTTGAGTCACTAATTCCACATGTATTGCTTGAATAGTTTGCCAAAAAAAAAATTACATTCTGTCATTATTTATTTATCATTGCAAACCTGTATGCTGTTATTTTTTCCTTGGAAGACAAAATAAGAAATGTTCAAGGTTTTGTTTGAATATAAGGACAATTCATAGTGACAACGAATGTGAAGCTCTAAAAAGCACACTAAACGTTTTGTTTTTAATGTCATACAATCACTTTGCGTGAAGAACAGCCTGAAATAAAGACTTTATTTTACTGATAATCTATTAAATAATTTAATTAATTGGTAAGGTGCTGTAATCAGAAATTAGCGTGTGAAATTGTGATCTCTAGATTTTGCTTAATTAAATCTAGGGCAGTTTTTCACCTGCTTTTTGTCCGTCTATTGCGAGACTGACAAGTGTAAGTCTGTTCATTTAATGTAATAGCACAACCCTATTCAACCAGAAATATGAACAATAATAATACTAATAGTGATGCTTGCTTTAACAAATGCCACTGATTAATTCTTCCAACACCAAATGTGTTTGTCATGGAAAGATATTGCGTGCAAAAGCAAGGAAGGAAAAAACGACATAATGATTCATCCAGCTCCTTAACAAGGAGCTAAAATTGAACCGCTGGCCTAGATTATGTTCAAAGACCAAACTCAGATTTAATCTTAGCAGGCTGTCAGGCCGCTCTGAAAATAAGGACATGTGATGAAAATAATGTGATTTCCTGTTAACTGACCATTTGCCAACAAAAGCAGGACAGCTGGCTTTTTAGTGCAGTGCATTATGGAATAAATGATTTTACTGGAGCTGATATCTTTCATGTGGCTTTTTATGCACTGTGGCTCAGACTATTACAATGGTTCATATTCTTATGGGCAAAAGCTTGATTGCTATCTCAGATTATATATGGGCAGGATTGTTTGAATTCGAAATGCCTGGTGTTTAAGTCATGTGATCACCTTCATATGGATCTTTCCGATCATGATTGTCATGGAATGCCAGGGATCATAAAGTTCAAAGACCATGGCAATGTCACTTTATGTTTTGCATTGCTATACAATATACGTGCAATAATATCCTGCTAAATCATAAACGTATAGATTACTGTGGTAAGGAATATTGTTGCCATTTTGTATTATAAATGATTTACTTTTTTAATTCACCTTCCTGGTCTTATTGCGCATGACTTCTCAGTGTTTGTTGTTCAAAAGAAAATATCTGTCTTTATAATCTATTATTTTTATATTATTATAATTTGTCAAGTAAATCAAGTATTAACTTGCCCTGCATCTGAAACAACTTTACTTTTCGGCTGACGTCACCTAGACTGCTTGGGCCGTTTGTTAATATTACCCACAGTGTTGTTAATGTTAACCAAAAGTAAAGCGATCTAAAAAAAATGTTTCTTTAATTTAAATAAAACTGACATAAAATCAAATATAAATATTATATATACAGTGGGTACGGAAAGTATTCAGACCCCCTTAAATTTTTCACTCTTTGTTATATTGCAGCCATTTGCTAAAATCATTTAAGTTAATTTTTTTTCCTCATTAATGTACACACAGCACCCCATATTGACAGAAAAACACAGAATTGTTGACATTTTTGCAGATTTATTAAAAAAGAAAAACTGAAATATCACATGGTCCTAAATATTCAGACCCTTTGCT